CCGCTCCGCGCGCCCCACGCTGCCTCCCTTCTGGGGCTCTCCCGCTGATGCTTCCATTGTGTTTGCAAGTGCAAGCGTGGTAACACATGCTCTACCCTTTCATCAAGTTCATCGTGACAGGTGTTGGGTTCCCCCCCACCCCCCCCGCATAATACTTCATAAAATAGTAACTTTTTTTTTTCCCTCAGGAACTAAATTGAAGGTGTTTTCCCTTTAAATGTATTAACAGAGCTGAATCCCTCCACCCACCCCAAATTAAGTGCAGCCAGAAATGGTTTTCTTTATACTTCTGATACCACGTTTTAAAAATTAAAACCTACTGATCTTTTTTTTTTCCCCAAGACATAATTCATGCAAAGTTGCTATTTGTTTAAATAAGTTATAAAAGTTGATATCTCAGGCTAGAAGAAGCTGTAGTCTTGGTTATTCTTTAGTTGGCAGGCACTGTACATACATACCGGGTACAGACACATGCCGAATCTGCTTTGCATTGCTTTTTGCATTGTACAATTCACAAATCTGACATCATTAAAGCAGTTAATTACCTTTGATGGAAGGCTGCAGTGAGGCCATCTACATTTATCAAACAAGCAGCTGGTTAAGATAATAAGTATGCTCCCCCCCCACCCCGGTGCTCCCCAAAATGCTATTATCTGTCACACGTTGCTTCTCTGAAGTGGTTAGATTTGGTGCGCACATTAATGTGCAAATGTGTTGCCATAGGAACTGCAGCCTCCATTACGCCTCAATGACACCATTCAGCAAAAGCCAAAACTAAAAATAATAACAACAACAAAAAAAACCACCCTTAAAAATAAAATAAACAAACAAAAAAACCCCCAAAAGGCAGCAAAGAGAAAGTCCAACGCACATGCGGAGTCTGGCCCAGGGCTGCAGGTTACGCGTGGCTACAGAACAGCGCAGGAGATATTTAGGTTTGATCTTAACTTCACACTATGGTACAATGGGGCTCAGTTCAGCGGGTCCAAGTCTGTGCTGGCTTAGGAAGGACGGGGGGATGGAGCGGAGTCGTGGTTACCGGATGCACCCGGGGTCTCTCAGACATTTGGCAGAATGAGGCACATCCAAAAAAAGTGCAACACCAGTGCCGTGGTGGCAGTGCGATGTGTTTGAGTGCGTGCACGCGCTTTCCTCTTCATGCATTGTAGCAAGCGGGTTGGGGCGGGGGTTTTTTGCCCCCCACCTTTTCTTTGAAAACTATTAACCAGTAAATAACGGTAAGACAAATGCATATTCTACTTACTGGTGCATGAAATACTGAAAACTGCATTCAAGTAATATTTCTGCACTATTATGAATGCATCACTATGTTATCTTACACTTGGAAAAGGAGAAGACTATGTACACCAGAGCAGTGGTACTATTTTGCAGTTAAAGTTTCTGTGCTTTACGGAGGTACCTGGGAAGGAGAGGCCGCCGCTCCGCTCCGCTCCGCCCCACCAGGTCGCAGGACTCCCAGCGCCACCACCTACAGCATGCGAGGAAGGAGCGCTGCTCGGCCGGCCGATCGAGCTGCACGGAGCAAACCAAAAGATGACATGAGGGAACAAAAACTCAACCCAAAATTGGCAAATCAACAGTGACGAGAAATAGAAGGGCAATTTATTATTTTTGAAGGGGGAAGAGGAGGGAAAAAAAATTTTTCTCGTTTGGTTGGTTGGGATTTTTTATTCTTCCCGCAGCTGCAGGCGGTAGCGATGGTAGCGGAGCTGGAAAAACATTCTCTCCAGTAAGGAGCGCGTCATCCCTGGCAGGGCGTAATGTTCAACGACACCCACGTGCTTGAACCCCAAGGACTCGTAGAGCTTGTGGGCTGCCATCTTCACGGCCGTGGTTCCCAGCACGACAGAGGAGTAGTTGTTGAGCATGGCAAACTCCAGCACTTTGCGGCCCAGGGCCTTGGCGATCCCTTTGCCGCGGTAGTTGGAGTCGACGGACATGCGGCGCAGCTCCACCGTGTTGTCCTCCTCGTTGCCCCGTGCCGCCACGATCCCCACCACGTTGCCGTCCAGGACGGCGACCCAGAAGCAGGAGCCTGCGGGAGACAAAACAGCACATGTAGCTGCCGGCCACCTCGGACAGGCAAAATGGGCAAGGCACCTGCTTATGAACACGCCGATGGGAGCCGGGCTTGGGGTCAGAAATCACCTTTCTGTCTCACATGGGGACTAACGACCTCCATAAATAAGGACCAAACTTTCTTTTCCCTTGACACTGTGAAGGGAATGTTGTTTTCCAGAGGAAAATGCACAAGAAAGTCACTACGAGCCAAAACGTGAGACTCCTAAGGGACCAAGTGTTACAAAGTGCATTTGGCTGCCATCAGACAGGCAACGATCCTCAGCTCGTGGTGGCACGTGACGGGTAACTTCTGACCCGCACACAGTCACGCTCTCCCGAGCTGCCACTAACGTCACCGCAGTGAGTCCCGGATCCCTCCCAGCCCAGCAAAACCCATCTTCACCTGTTGTTGCATCCCACCCCGACACCCGGCAGCGGCACCGGCGGCCCCTTGCACGCTCTGCTGCCAAACTCCTCCTCTAGTAGGAGCCACACTTTCCAGAGGCTCTTGTCTCCAGGAGAACAAGCTCGCCTGCGGAGCGGGCAGTGCATGACTGGGCTCATCAGCTGAGAGCTGCTGATGTGCTCTGGGCAGACCGGCGGCCTCCAAAGCGAGCAGGACCGGCCGCACGCAGGCAGGGAGCCCACGGAGAAGTACAGGGTGGTGCACAAAGCATCCTTGGTGATTGAGGAGGGCAGGATCTGACCCAGATGCCAGTGAGGGGCGGGAAAGGCTGAGCCCCTTTCCCTGGTGCTGTGGCGAAAGGCAGGGAGCCAGCTCGGAGCAGGACAGGAGCCCCTGTGCCAGGGCACAGCAGGCAGGGCTGGGACACGGGGAGCTGGTGGAGCCTCCCTAGGTCTGGGAAACCTGTGCCTGCCGAGGGCCAGACACCCAGCTGTGGTCCCAACCTCTTGTTGGGACTCATAAGGATGTTGCTTCTTGGGTGCAATGCAAGAGCAGCCCTGATGGCTCTGGGCTCCCAGGGAAGGGGGCAATGACACCCAGCCCTGGGCACCCGGGCACTGGTGCGGCCGTTTCCCCTCCTCAAATCTCAGCACCTTCCCACCACTGCAAACAGCATGCCAAGGAGCATAGAAAACACTCTGGAAGAGAGATGCCATGGGAAAGGCAATCCACTGCAGAGAAATTGCTGCAAGCCCCAGGAGCAGAGGAAGACCATCCCTCTTCCCCAGGGACACTTTGCCCTCAGCCAGCACCCAAAGCTTGTTCACAGCCATGACCGCAGCCTTGCCAGGCAAACAGGGCTGGCTGCTGCACCCTGAGGGGAGCTGCAGAGCCATGGGCACTGCTCCGTGCACGCAGGGACAGCACGAGGACTCAGCCTCCCTGCAGCATCCTCCTGCCACCCCCTTCTCCAACCCACGAGGCCTGGCTTGTTTCTGACCTCTGCCCATGCACGTCTGGAGATGTAAGTGCATCCTTGCGGACTTCACGGGCTCAGTGCAGGGCTTGCCTAAGACAGTTTCGAAGAGAAAATCCAAACTGGGCAGCAAGATGAGAAACTAGATTCACGAAATGAAGCACGAACAGGGGAAAATGCCATATACACCCCCCAGAAAGAGCATCTCCTGTGCACAGCCAAGATCAGGCTCACCCACCCGTTTTTCCCCACAGTTTGGGGTGCTCACGGCCAGACACCCCTTGCTTTGGAGCTGCTGCTCCTCCTCTGCTGGCACGTGCCCAGCAAGAGCATCTCGTGAGCTGGAAACGTGGTGCTCAAGCAACTCGGGCCAAAACCACGTAGAGTTTCAGCGAGCAACACCAGCCCATCCTTAACTGTGCCCCGGCACCAGTCAGCTGGCCATCCTGCTCCAGGAACGAGGACGCGGCTTAATGAACAGGCTGCGCTTTTGGGGGTGCGGGGGGTCAGCACTGCTGCTCTGCAATGGGGCAGAAGGCTTGGTAGGGCAGATGCTGCCTTCAAGAGACTAAAGCCAAACCCATCTAATCAAAGCCCAGCAGCCTGAGGGGTACCCAGGGCAAGCATCCCGAGGTCCCAAGTGCTCCGACCACAGCCCTAGCTATGAAGCTCAAATAAAACTGGACCTTGCTGGAGAGAGGTACCGGTATCATCCCATCCCACTGCTCGTAATGGCCAGCAAATGTTCAAGCCGATGCAATTAGAAACTGCTGTAACTCTGGAGTATTACAGCATCACTTGGCCCCACCAGCAAGGAGACTTAAAAAAAAAAACAACCAAACAACACAAGTGAAATTCAAGTAACGAATTACTCAGGTCTTAACTAAAAATCTTCACAGAAAATCCTGATGAAGGAAAAGTGTCTTGAATTGAACTGAAAAGACCAATGTTATCAGCACAGGTCAACTGTGACCTTAGCTTGGATATTGCTTAATTAACACCCAAGAAAGCCACTATTCAATTACAGCAGCTAATGAGGGACACTGACAGGTCTCTCACCAAGACAGACTTTCAGTGCTCAGGAGGAACATGGCTTCACCCAGAGGACCCCATCACAGGAGAAACCCCTGGGGTGCTGCGACCTGCCGCAGGCGGTGGCCTTCTCCTTCCCCAGCGCTAAGCAGAAGGAAACCTGACTTGGGCAGCAGCTCCATCTTTAACATCAACCCTGCTAACTGCCCCGACCCAAACGCAGGGCACACCTCCACAAGGACTGGCGTTAAACAGCCGGGTAGGTGCTCCGGGGCACACGGCATCGCTCGCCCTGCAAAACAGGGGTGGGGGAATGAATAAGACAACCAGAGTCCTTCTTTACTGGAGGAGATCAAAGCACGGGGCGGCGGGAGGTGCCTCCCCGGCTGCTGCCTGTGGGACAAATGCACCTTGCGACTCGGCGAAGCCATCGGAAAGAGATGGCTGAGGTCTTCCATGCTTCCCCGCGGCACAGCCCAGCTGCCGAGGAAAAGCCGGGTACAAACGCAGCACGGGGAACCAGCCCAGGTCCGACGCACCACACCAGGCTCGTCCCCGCCTCCAGAGCGACGCGCAGCTCCAGCGATGCTCACTTTTGTTCCCACTGCGAGCAAGTCATTACGCTGTCGCTATCTAGGTCAACAGCTAATTTTTAAAACACCGGGACCCATCTTGACCCATTTATCAGCAGCAGTTAAGATGTCTCTCTTCTGCTGCTGCGCTGACAGTGCGGCTTGCTCCCCTGCATTCACCTGCATCTCAAAACGTAATTTATTCAGACACGACCCCAGACAAAGACCTACAAGCTCTGAAACCCAGCAGCCGCCTTCCCTCCAAATACAAATCGCAGGGCTGAGGGCTCACCGCTCTCTGCTCCACAGCTTTGTTTTTAAACCGCTCGTCACGTGGCGGCTCTGCCCAACGCACCCCCCCAGCCCATCCATCACGCCTCTGGCCGCACGGCGAGCACACCATGAAGGGGCCGCGGTGATCCTCACCCCTACAGGCACAGCCACCAATTTCAGCTCCCCTGGCATAGCCCAAAAAGGGGATTCATGAGTCCCCCCCCGCGTCCAGGGAGCAGAGATGAGAAACGACTCCTGTTGGGGCACACGGTGCTGTCCCCCGGCACCCACCCGGTCCTGAGGCAGCCCCAAAAAGTGTCACAAAGTGGCCAGCAACTGGCGCCCACCGAGCTGCAGCTGGTGGCACAGCCACCATGTCCCTGTCACCCAGCCCTATGTGCGGTGATTCCTCCTGGAGCTGCTTCTTCAGCAAAACCGGCTCATCTTCCTCAAACCAGAGATATTAACCTAGGTTCCTCTCGGCTCGAGGTTACATGATTACTTCTCTGATTACTTCCCGCTTTTATTCCTGATTTTTCCTTCTCAGCAAGCACCTCTCCTCTGTGCCCACGAAGCCTGAGAGGCTGCTAAAGCTCAACCAGTAACACACTTCCCACCTTTGTAAAACAGCACACTTCCAGTATTTTTAGGTCTTCCGCCTATTAAAAACCCAAACCTGGGCATGCCCGCCTCGGCAGAGCTCACAAGGCCCTTCACACCCCCGGCCCCCCACCCCCGACTGCCCTCCAGGACGGAGGCCGTGCCCTCACACCCGCCATCCCGGCGGGGACCGGCCCGCTCGCAAGCGGCATGACGGCAAACCTGCACTCCTTGTTAGTTTTTACTTACAACTTCAAAGCTTAATTATAATGATTTTGAGTTCAACGTGAAGAAATAGTATCTGGCACATCTCCCAGTGTGTGTTGTGCATGCAACGCTTATAATTAGCAGACAGGACACATCTGCTCAAACAATGCGAGTTGTATTCGGCTCTTGTGTACACCAGTGCCATCAAACCCCAAGATTTTTACCCCGTGTCTGCGCCTGCTCTGAGGATCACCAGTGGCTAGATCCTTCAGCCTGCTAAAACCACCTCGTTTCCAAAGGTGGCTACAAGCCCAGAAGCAGCTTTCACTCATGGGATTGTCAAATCCCTCCTCCAGGGAGCCGCGTCCCATTCGGATGGGGATTTGCTACCAAAAGCTGTTTTGGGGTCCCACCACATGCTGCTGACCTTGGGCTGAGACCTTCTCTCCTCTGGGCAAACCCTCCAGTTTCAGAGCAGGAACCCTGAAGGTCTTCAGTTTGCTTTTTACCTAAACTCAACATGTTTTCAGCAATACTAGCCAGCTGCAGCTCCTCACCATATCCACTCTTTACAGCATCTACTATGGAGCGGGGCGGAAGCACCCTGGGAAAACCACCCCACACTGCCACCCCCCAGGGCTGGGGGGGTCCCTTTCCCATCTTTTCTGGACCAAGGGGATTGACTCAGAGCCTGTCTTGGTTTTGCACTTTTTCAGACCTAGGATGAAATAAAATTAACTTCATCTCACCTGTCAGTAATGAGCAACAGCCTTACTGCTCATAGTGCTATTAATAGCAGGAACTGACATTTTACTCTCTCACACCGCTATCTGAAAATAATCACTGCTGCAAAGATAAACACAACCCTGATGGCTACAACTCTCCCTGTCCTTCAGATACTCATCTCG